ATAATTTGATAGACAAACCTTGTTAAGTACTCGCGATTGATGTTCATTTTCCGGCTTCGGAATTGCCGTCGCCAAAACAGAAAAACCAATCAAAATTTGAAGAAGCATGAATTCTTGCATAACTCGTTTAAATACAAGAAAAAAAACCGATTATCCAAAATTGGCAAATCAATGAAACTATCAGGATTTTAACAATGGTAACTTCTACTTTAGCTTTAGTTCAGCTTACTCGAACTTCCACAGCAGTAAAACTTTACGTCCTGCTTGATGCTACATCCCCACTTTCCAAGTACACACATATTCGTTTCAGAAACCGTTTCTGATGCTGATGCTGAAATGCCTCTGCTCCATATCACAAAGTATCATGACCGAGTTACATATATACACGTTTTACTAGTTAAATACTATTAATACGTATGATTACATATGACTAGCCTGCTTGATTACCGATAAATGTACAAGATAAAACTTTATTTAATTGAAATGATATATCGTATTAGAATAATTTGAATAGTAATATTATATTGAGTTAATTTCTAAAATTTTTGGTATTAAAATTTAAACTCATTTGTTAGAAATAAGTAATATAGAGATTTTTATTGAATACCATTTCCATTTAATGGAGATTAATGAATATTAATTACTAATATAAGACACTATTAATTACAATATATTAAATGAAATGTCACGTGATCAAGATTAATTAACCTCAGTTAAATGTTAAAATTTTAATATCTACGTCCTATTTCGTTATATTTGACATTAATAAATATATTTTAAACAGATAATAAGCAACATTTATTGTTATAAGTATTAATTGCTTCGTCAGAAGTTATGAATTCAACTACTTGATTTTTAACCATGTACTCAGCATAGTGCGTAATTCATTATCACAATTAAAACATTCATTCTCGTCCGTATAGTTTTAAAAGAAACAACGCATCCTCTGTGTGTATACAATGAGAAGCCTACATTCATCCTAATTTTAGATCCAAACGTCTGTAACGATACTTTTCGTGAACCTCTCTAGTTGTTGTTTCATTTATTCGTCATGAAAAGATTTTTATCTATCTATCTATCTATCTATCTATCCATCTATCTATCTATCTATATATATATATATATCATATATATATCAAATATATCATATATATATCAAATATATCATATATATATCATATATCATATGTATATCATATATATCACATATATACCATATATCATATGTATATCATATATATCACATATATCATATATATATCATATATCATATATATATCACATATATCATATATATATCATATATCATATATATATATCATATATCATATATATATC